GTAATGCCCAAATCAAACTTTTCCGACTTCAAACGCTCCAGTAGCTCCTTATTCTCGAGTAATTCTGAAAATAATTATCTAAAAGTTGCTAATTTATAATTATTAAGAAAATCTTACGTTCGGCAGATAGTGCCGCGATATTGCCGAGGAAGGATACAGACTAGAAAAGAAATCTTAATTTCGGGGAGATTTATGCGATAAAGAGTGATGTTACCGCTATAACACCCAAAGGATTCGTAGCACTCCCAGTCCACATACGTTCTTGATTTGATCGCTGGGTAGCTAGCAACCCATTTATCTTTGCTTCGTCCATATCAACTTGGATTAGACGAGATTTCCTTGTGCCATTATTAACATGAGGAAAGATTACTGGCTGCAGAGATACCTGCAATGGCAGGTCGTTCCATTATCCGAACGAACGAAGATCACAAGGAAAGGTGATACAGACATTGTAGGTGATTAGACTATGATTAGAGTAGTACTAGAGTACTCCTTTCGATAGACTAGCAGTTCATTCCAAATTGAGATTTTCAATGAAAAATGCTTAGAATGTCTTAAAAGCCAAGGATTTTTTCAAAAAGCTGCCTACCACATCGTAACCGGCATCCACTAGAGTGTCCGCTATACTGCCCAAATAATTCATGTGGCTGTAACCCATTTTGGGAATGACCACTAGAATTTTGTGAGCTTCACAAGTGAAGACGGCTAGAAACAATAGAACTGGCAGCAGCATTCTGAATTAAGCGATAGAGTCAAGAATTATCTATAAAATACATATATGTGCAAAGAGATGACGAGACTAAGGAACTATTTATCTCTCATCTACTCCCTCCCCCCACCTTCTTCCTTCCTCTCTTGTAAACTACAGTTTTGGGTTGTAAACATTGAAGATATAGCATATGGGCGTAAACATTGAAGATGCAAAAGTATTGCTACTAGAAGGAAGTTTCAAAATAAGACAACTGAAAGCTTCTCCTATCACTCGAGGATTGGCTAAAATATGTTTTCATAAAACAGCAAAGCTATTCTCGTGAAGAGCATAAATCACTATTGATATAATATATGCATATGGGCAGTGAAACCACTATGAACTCACACGCTTAAACAAAATCAGTTTTTATCAAGAGCGAAATGACGTAAGGCGGACTGTGCGTCTGCTGTTGCCGATCGAGAGAATCTTATCAGATGAAACATCAGAACCATAGAACATAATATCGTAATTGAACGACCATATTGACTTCATCTGAGATAGTGAGAGACGACTTTGCTAGCCATATCAGTGCTATCTTTTTATGCTACATCCCGCGAAAGG